ATTTTTAATACCTTAAATTGAAGCTTATATATCTGATTACGTATAATAACATACCTACTGTAATTACTTTAAAAGCCGATCGTTGTGTATAAATATGAAACAAGACAACGTATTATTTCAGTGTTTCTTTATTGATTACACTTTTTATTATCCTAAGCAAAGTTATTTGCATGGGAGAATTTGGAATCATTTTATTTCGAACTCAAAGTTTATCGATAAAGGCAGTTTAGGGACCGGTCATTATTTATGGCGGGGGGTGGCACCGAAGAGAAATGTTTTTCGTAGCAAAAATTTTGCTGACCCAACCATTAAAAAGTAAACAAAATTGATTACCCAACCTCAAATATCAATTAAAAAACAAATACCCACCCCTGGCCAAAAAATTTACAAAAGGTACTATTCAGTTGTCACATATGTCCTTTACCACTTCTGTGACATAAGTTTGATAATGGATTGTGAAATTTTCTGCAGTCTGAAGTTTCATGTTGTCTGCACAAGTAGCTACTTTCTTTGGAGATCCCATCGGAAATTGATCAAGATAATGACTCTGATTGATATATACTTTTCGTTGTTTCTTTACACATTTAGTAAATCTTAGTATAGCACCAAGTTCATCAATGTATAATAAACCCGGGTGTTTTGCAATCAAAAGTGATGCAACCTGGATAGTGGAATAAGTTGATTACTGTAGGCACAATTTTTGGCCACTTAATAGTCAAAGGTCATGCATAAATAAGAACAGTCTTTAATATTACCGCCTTACGCAGACTTTATATTAATTGTGCTACTCTAGGATCTAGAAGACCCATAAGTCCCATACTCGACTAGCAACATAATCAATTCTTATGTTAATTCATTATATATAGGATCAATGTTAAAGGCAAGGTGGGCTATAAGCTATAATAATTTGTATGGCCTATAGAAGGCTAATTGCTGCGAATAAATTGAATAATGAATGCAGCACAATATTAAATAGTTGCATGATGACGTCAAAGAAACTAGTCAGACTACATTTGCAAGTTTTGCAACTCTCATTGCTTAAATTCCCCATACCTGAATACAAAATAAACAGTAAACAACGATTACCTTTTACATACCATATATAAAACGGAGTTTTCATCCTTTCTAGAAACTCACTTCCTGAACTTTTGAGCGCAAATGTAATGTATTAAAAATGTATATCATATTCACAGCGGTTAATACCATTAATATATTGTGGGCGCAATACAAAACAAAACACGAGAATTTTAAAATGTTTTGATTTGCAAATAAATAAATAATATTTGATGTCATAAAAATGTTTAAATTTAACTCAACACAAACTGGTAAGTTCATGACTTGTATAATTTACTTATATGTTGTTATATTGCAATTCTGTACCCTACTCCTTTGAAAATTGTTTGCAATTGCATATGATGTGAACATGTGGTCATGTATTATAGTTGTGTCATGGATTTAATAATACCCCAATGGCTTTGAAATAGACAATGGATGGAAAAAGTCATGAATATTGAACTTATTTACCCTTTAAACACTTGATCGTCATGCGCATACAGTGTATTGTTTGTTTCCAGAACCCCCTCAAGCAGACTTCAACTTTTTTTGTTAAATTGTATATTTTGCTTCATACACTGTATGTGTGTGTGTTTGTGGGAACACTATGTTTGGATGCTTGGCGTAGGTTAATGGTAATTTCATTGGAGTCATCAGGGATATAGTTGTATATTCCTGAAATTACCTCTAAACACCTAAAACAGCATTCCCTAAAATTTTAATTGTTTTCTTACATTGTCCTATATCGCTCAAACTCGCATTGCTTAAATTGCAGATTTTGCTTAAATCACCTAAATTTGCTTAAACTTGCATTATCTCGTTATCGCCCCAGAGCAGGGCCTACTGTTGCCATTGCTTTTTAGTCCCCAATACTTCAGTGAGTTATGCTTTGGAAATGACAATAATTTTTTATTACCCAACCCTTGAGTTGTTTTGTTTTTCATTTACCCAACCTTTTACTTACTCAAAATTTAGTTTACCCAACCCTTTTCTCTTCGGTGCCACCCCCCACCATAAATAATGACCGCTCCCTTAGTTCTATAGTAAAAGAACATTTTAAAATGTTTTGCGAAGCGTTTGTGGTTGAATTTTACCTTAAATTCAAGCTTATATTACGTATAATAACATACCTAACATATATGTGTTTAGGAAATTGATAATTTTGTAATTAAAAGTGATATTTATAGGGGATTTTTCATTTGTAAAAATATTCTTAAAAAATTATCGTGTTACCATGACAACTACTTAAAATACTTCACGTTCGGAAAATAAAATGGTTTTGTCTGCAAGGCGAGGGTTTCTGCATGCATGTATTTTCTAGTATATTCAGATTCAGTACTCGTGCACGGGAATTCAACAATCCAAATTTCGGATTTTCAGAGTCGTCCACCAAGAAAAATGCATTAACTAAACTAGCAAGAATGTCCAGAGTTAAAGGCGGTTTTCCAGTCCTCGCACGAAGCTCCTCGCAACTCGCTGCGAGTGCTTGCATCTAATTAAAATTAACTGTTTAGCATTGTGATTGGATGAAAGTGCTCATGCATGCACTCGCAGCGAGGAGCTTCGTGCGAGGACTGGAAACCGCCTTTAGACACAATGCAAAATCCATAGAAAACAGATACAATTCGTTCAGAATTTTAACGAAATTGTTTGCAACATTTTGGCCACTCCTCGAAAGGCCGCCATTTTGAAAGGATCAAAAGGATCAATTGGGTTTTATTAGGCAGCTCATTGAAATTCTATTTTGTGGCTATCGACGATTGGAGATCCACCATAAATGCGTGCCGAAACTTATACTCGCCCGGGCACAGTGCCCCAGCGAGTAATTTAAATATACATTTATTTCAACTCAATTGTATACTTGAGTCTGAGGGCAAGCTTCACACATATAGGAACACAATTTAGGCCCCGTTTACATGAGACTGGAATGAAGTCAAACCGGGACCATTTCGTTTTGGTCATACTGTAGTATTATTTATAATAGATGTTTACATGAGAAAATAACTCAGACCGGTCTCAAGTCATTCCGTCTGCTGGACCGAGCCGACTGACTTCAGACCGGCATGAATTCAGACCGGGATGACATGTATACACAAATACATTTCAGACCGGTCTCGGCTGTTGATTAGATTAGATTAGATTAGATAATGATTTAGATTAACATGGTGGTTCTATCAGAAATAATATTTACAAATGTTAAATTATTAAGTCTGGTCTACCTAGAAGCCGTATACGTTTTAACAGAACTATATTTACATTTTTTTGTTTTTTATCTAGATGAAATATAATAGATGTGAATATGTAATATATACAAAGTATATTTACAGTGAAATCGCGAATTTACAAGTTGTCATTGCAGAAGTTATGTTTCTTAATTTGTGCCTTAAATTTCGATAAACCCTTCTCCTCTTTAATTTCATTTGGTAAGGAGTTGCAAAGAAAAGCCGCTGAAACTGCAAAGCATTCAGTTCGAACATTAGGTATCTGAACATTAGGTATCAGATGACCTCAAGTCATAAGTATAGTTGAGCCAGACTGCTTCTCAAACATTTCAGATAAATATGAATAAGGAGAGTTCCCGTTCATAATTTTGTGCATCATTATAGCTTTCGGAACTTTGCGGTTGTGTGCCAGAGTTGACCAACCCAAATCAGAAAAAAAACATCGCATGTGTGAACGGTTCTGTATGGGGCTCCAGTAATGATACGAGCTGCACGATTTTTAAATTTTTGGAGTTGATCGGCTGGCGTCATATCAATCAGTATTGTCCCACACAGTGCTGCAGTAATCAAACATTGACATTGGAACAACACGTGCTAACAAAAGCCATTTAAAAAAGAAAAGGCAAAGGGGAATAAATTGAAAATTTTGTGATTTTCGTACCAGTCTCATGTAGCCTGTTCGCAGACTGCCTCCTCCGCAGGCCCTCGTTGCGTCATGGGAAGGTCACACAAAATCTGGCGAGGGCCTGCGGAATCTTGTAAAAAAAATGGCGCCGACGTCACGTCAGCAAATTAATTTATACATAATCTTGAATATAAGCAGGCTATAAAAAAGCGGCGTGAAACTTGTAAATTAAAATGGCGACTCTAAGACGTGGAAGGAAGCATTTTTTAACGAATAATGGGCCATTGCCCCTTAGCCTCGTTTTCGTGTTAAAGCTTTTTCCCGCATTTATTGGTCAAAATAATAATTTTTTGTCATGCATCTGTTAAAGAAGGATGTTCTCCTTCTTTGCGCATAGCCAGTGAGAAAAAACTTGAAGTCCATTCCATTTAAGCGTGATTGCCCTATGCTGAAAACAATGTAGTTATGACGTAATTACCAGAAAGGTCTATTGAGAAGCGAGAGTTTGCATGAGAATTTTCTCAACTCTCATGCCCCTGTCAAACGAGAACAAGAGTTGCATGAGAGTCAGCGAATATTCTCATTAACTCTCATTAAATTTTGAACCAGTAAAAATGTCGATGAGCTAGAGTGCATGAGAGTCGATCGATGAGATCATGCGAGTTAGTGGCGGTCAGACTCGAGCGAGAGTTGCAACTCTCTCAACTCTCAATCACGTCTCACCGGGACTTTTCTACGAGCGTGGTAATATATCACTGATCTGAAGGTAATATCTAGTTAACTCTCATGCAACTCTTGTTCTCGTTTAACCGGGGCATGAGAGTCAGTGAAAAACACTCATCTCAAACTCTCGCTTCTCAACTCTCATCAACTCTTACGCAAACTCTCGATTCTCAACCCTCATCAACTCTCATGCAAACTCTCGCTTCACAACTCTCATGCAAACTCTTGCTTCTCAACTCTCATGCAAACTCTCGCTTCTCAACTCTCATCAACTCTCATGCAACTCTTGTTCTCGTTTGACCAGGGCTTCATTTTGAAAACACTTTTTTGCAACCTGACACTGCAGTCTGACATTAATTTACAACATATTTGTCGACCCCATGTTTGATGCATGATTTATTTTTCTTCTGCAAACAGCACAGGCTGATTAAGGCCTTTCATCTTTCCAATTTAATCAAGGCTTGTTTACACATGTTTCGCCTCATAATACCCCCGCAACAAACTTTAAATCAAATTTTGAACTGCAATGTAGCAGTTTTGAATATGCTCATGAGCACGCCCATATATGTACCAGAATCCTGTAATCTGCTCATGAGCATGCTTGATGAGCATACTGCATGATTTTCGTGTGTACAGGCATGAATATACGTATTAAATATACGTATGAACAAAATGTCATTAGGTCAAAAGATGTGCTTTTCATTCCAGTTTTTGCTTATGGAATGAAAGCTCGCCTAAAAATGAAGAAAATGCTGAATTTTGGCACATTTCATGTGCAAGTGTAATTTGTACGAAAAAGGCGACTCAGAAACATTTTGCCCTGTATTTTGCCTTAATAGTTTGAATATTATTTTCAAAATATCTCTAAAACCAAACAAGATAGAAAACAATTATAAAGAGTCTTCATAATTATACAGTTTTAAAAGTTCCTTGAAATGAGGCAAAATCAATATATTTTTACTGTCACTTCCCTTCAAGTGCAGTGGTGCACACCATGTGCGCGACCTTCAACAACTTCAAGTTTTCATCAACTTTTGGTAATCATCAGCTTCACGTTTGCTTTGATCCAGCTCCTCGTAGCCAGCTGGTAAGTTTCTTCCCATTTTGACGTCTTCGTACGACTCTCCTCTCTCGTGAGCTGGTATAACATAATCTGAGTCTCGCTTTACAAGTTTCTGGTAAGTGCCATCATTTCTGCCTTGGAGTCTATTCTTATCGAGCTCAGCATAACCTGGATTTTCTGGAGATTTTTTGGGCTTTTTATACATTTTATTTTGGCCTGGTGTTTCGTACCCAGAAGTCTTTCGTGCACTTGATGGCCCTTCAACCTCTTCGTAATCTGATGTGTTTCCTTTAGAAACAGAAGAAGATATAATAAATCCGCGGATGAGAGAAGAATGAAAGATTGCATGAGAGTTGACAAACAAAATTGACAAGCAGAGTTGCATGAGAGTTGATGAGACTTGACTTGATATTAACGGTCAAACAAGCAAAAATTCTGATCAAAAATTTGAACCAAAGTCGATGAGACTAGTTGATGGGAGTCAATGAGAGCTGGCGGTCAAAGCGAGCGAGAGTTCATTGAACTGGTTCAAATTTTGATCAGAGTTTTCGCTACTCGCGCAGTAATATTCAGCCAACCTTCGTAAATTCTCATGCAAATCTTGTTCTCGTTGACCGGAGGCAAAATCTCGCTTCTCAACTCTCATCAGCTGTCATGCAATAAGTGGCACAAAAGAACGTCGAGAACTGGCACAAAAATAAGTTACAAGAAGAAGTTGGTATACTGGACAGCTTTATCTGTTCTAAGTTGAATAGTTCAGCATGAGCTCCACCTTTGAATTTACTATGTGAGTAAATTGTTAAACACGTCCGAATTTATCAATATAATAAATTCGCGGCACCTAACCCCTAACTCAAACCCTAACCCCAACCCCCAACCTGACTTTTTAAAACTTTTTTTGGAAAATCTAACTTTTTTTGAAAATCTTTCCGGAAACTTTCCACTCCCTCGCAACCAGCCTCCCTTTTAGTGCCATTACATTTATAACAAAACCTCTTCTCTAATGCTTGCGGTTATATGATTTATACTATTGATAATTTCAAAATGTGCCGCGAATTTATCATATTGATAAATTCGGACGTGTTTAACAATTTACTCATATAGTAGGAACTCATGCTGAATAGTTGATGATCAAACGCGGAGAGTTGCAACATCTGCAGTGAAAACATTATTTCAGTTTATTCAAGACATATTGCATATCTTCTCAGAATGACCAAAGTGTTACACATAGGAAGGTTAGTAGAATTTTAAACATATTACCTTTACCTGATATGTCTACAGGCTCGTTTGCTTTTGTGGCGACACTAAACTTTCGACCAGCTCTTGTGACAGTTTCGTAACCTGGTTCCTGTTTTGATGAAAATGATGACTTTTTAATGTCGATTACACGTGTTGCGTTTGCTCAATTCATCCAAATTTAAAAACTAAGGCCTAAAAGCTAGAAATAGTGTTCGACTGTTCGGTGGCTCTATTAGTATTTAGCTGTTCTCCGAGAGGTCCATAAAAGCCCAGCACTTATATGTCTAATGATACTACAGGAGGAAAACTAAACTAAACTAACTTTATTTACATTGAAAGGTAACTATCAGTTCTAAACTGCTCTTCCTTGAGGTCCAGTAAGGATCAGCTCTTATTGATCCAGTGTTGCTACAGGAGGAAACCTAAACTAAACTGACTTTATTTATACTGGGCGGCTCTATCAGTTCTGAACTAAACATTCGTAAATAATTTACCCGATCAATTGGCAATGATTCTTGTGGAGTTTGGACTGTCAGTGGAATATTAACAGGAGATGACAATTTTGGAGCTTGCTTGCGGCGCTTGTATTTTATCAATAATACAACAAGCACCGCGATGCAAAGAAATACGACACCACCTGCTGTTGTTGCTATGATAATCATTCTGCTGCCTGTTTGAATAAAGATAAGAAAATATTATAATTATTTTATTTCTAGTAACCAACTCAAAATGATAAGACAACTTAATTAACGCGACACTGATAACAGATAAAGAATAACTTCCTACAATACATCCCAATGTAATTAAGCAAAACCTCACTTGCCTTCGCCCGTTTTAGAAACAGAACTTCCATTATTACCAACCAAAGGCAGTTTACTGGGTTTATTTTCTATAAAAGCGTAAAAATACGTTATAACTTATACCTGGCATCAATTAGAGGATGAGCAACGACCCACCTACTATTAACCACCTACTACTACCCACCTACTATGAATCCAGAACCCACACAGTGAGATCTGGAATTCAGTTTGTTATAGAATCCGCAATCCAGATAAAGGAATCCATTCATTTTTATAAGGATGGAATTCGCAATCCACAAGTGAAGATGCAGAATCTACCATTCAGGATCTGGAATCCACAAGTCGGGATCAAGAATCCGAATAATATCATTATTTGGTATACGGCCAGGTTAAAAACGTTAGAATTATTAATTTATTACAAATACAACTATACCAACCTCTCAAATTTTCAGCATTATATTGTGCATGGAAAGACAAAATACTTTTAGAATTTCTTCCATAACTTCCAGAATTTGACACGATGTATAAACTATTTGTAGAAGATGAAATATCGAGAAATTCTGCTCTTGCATTTGAACCGCAATATGTGCCAAGCAACGGAGCAGTAGCATTTGAACCATCGTATATTCTTAGAAATGTATCACTACAACTTGGTATGGTCAACTCTTTAAAGCTCAGTGAAACGTTGTATGTTTCAGCAAGCGTAATTAACCAGGAACAATGTTGCGAGCGTGGATCCATCTCACTAACTGCAGCCTTATGTGATCTAAATGAACCACTAGGACCAGTCATTGTGCGGCGGCACTCTGAAATAGTATTAAAGGATCTAAAAAATCAAAGCTAAACTCTAGGCAGTTTTCTTGTATAATTTATCGTAATATTAGTACTGTCCAGTAAAGTATGATCCAATAATTGGAATGTACCATACTTCCATCGCCTTTTCATTGTTTTGAAAATCCCACTGTTCTCTACGCCATCATTCATTGTTGTGACTCAAATTTATTTCATAATTTCAGAGCAAAAGAATTTCAACCTGGGTTGATAGTAGCCAACTATCAAGTTTAAATAGAAGCTCTATCCGCTCAATTCAGACTGTGTTTAAGCATATGTCATAAAAGGTTATTAAACAGTTGAACACTTTGAAATGTACATTTTAAATCTTCCATCCTTAGCTACTACACATGAGGTAATTTTTTTTCAAATACTTAATTTTTTTCCTGATTGTAGAAAGCTTTATTTGAATGTTCAGTTGGTACTATGAACTGAGTTATAACTTACCTTCGTAGTAACAATAGTATTTCTTTTCTCCATCCAAAAACAAATGTTCCCCTCCCTGTCGATCTCCATTCCTGTTATCTTCTGTATCAAACACAATATACTCCAAGTAACTAAATGCCCACTTCACCATCTGACATTTTGGAGTGTCAGTAAAGTTAGATGATAATAAATAAAATGGTTGACTGACTGTCAGTTCAATTGACTCATACCAGTTACCATCAGTTTGACAACAATACTCTATCCCGGTATTTGTATCATACCAACCATCTGGTAGAAATCCTCCTTTACTATTTATGTTCTTGTAATCTAAATCATCCCATCTCACCCAGCCTTGTCTCATACGTTTCGGACACGTTCCACGCTTGTAAATACAATATGAACCTGTCAAAACAAAAATACATTTTCGAGGGGAGATCATTCAAAAAACGTATACAACATAAAGAAATCATTTTGATTAAAAAACATTATTTTGATGGCAATTGAGGAATGGAGATGTCATTATAAAATTATTCTGAGGTCATGATCGAGAAATGGGGATATTAAAAGGGACCGGTCATTATTTATGGTGGGGGGTGGCACCGAAGAGAAAAGGGTTGGGTAAACTAAATTTTGAGTAAGTAAAAGGTTGGGTAAATGAAAAACAAAACAACTCAAGGGTTGGGTAATAAAAAATTATTGTCATTTGCAAAGCATGACTCACTGAAGTATTGGGGACTAAAAATCAATGGCAACAGTAGGCCCTACACACGTGTGCAGTGTATGAAGCAAAATATACAATTTGACAAGAAAAGTTGAAGTCTGCTTGAGGGGGTTCTGGTAACAAACAATACACTGTATGCACATGACGATCAAGTGTTTAAAGGGTAAATAAGCTAAATTTTCATGACTTTTTTCATCCATTGTCTATTTCGAAGCCATTGAGGTATTATTAAATTCATGACACAACTATAATACATGACAACATCATATGCAATTGCAAACAATTTTCAAAGGAGTAGGGTACTGAATTGCAATATAAAACATATAAGAAAATTATACATGTCATGAACTTACCAGTTTGTGTTGAGTTAAATTTAAAATTTTTTATGACATCAAATATTATTTATTTATTTGCAAATCAAAACTTAACATTTTAACTAATAATTCTCGTGTTTTGTATTACGCCCGCGATATATTACAACCTCGTACCCAGGATCTTTCTTTGGGAAAGACCCTGGCTGCGGCTGGTCACGTGCCTCATCAAAAATTTAGCGCCCGAGGGTGTGTGGGGAAAGTATCAAATTACATCAACATCTGTCAACATGCTTCCAGTGGGATATTCGTTAAAAACATAAATTTTGCGAATTATTACGTTCAAAATACTTGCTAATTTTTGTTTATTTTCTTTGCTTTGAATTTACAAGAACATTCTTACATTCTTACTTACAGTCAAGTCAAGAAACCAAGCAAATCGTTACTCGCAGTGCTCGAGTCTCGTGTTGTTTAAATGATTCAATGCATGCTCTCTTCACACTCGAGCGCGGTTATAACAAACGTTTATTGTAATGTTTTTTAAATATACGCCATTACATTCGTCCTTTCTTGTAAACGTTGATACCCTTTGCACCGATTCACTTGTTACTACGCGTCTTGTTTAAAAGAAACAGTATTGTCTAGGACTGGCCAAATATTAGCAAATGTATAAAACATTTGATAATAGCCGAACAGAGAAATGTCCATAAGCATAGAGGAAATTTCAGTCATTGATTTATCGGCTGGATTTAGTACATAATTCGTATTCGGTAATAATTATAGTAAGACTTTAGCCTTTTTCTTGGTCTCTATTAATCATTATATTGTGTTAACATACTATAATCTACTCACAAATTTACAGTGTCAGACGCGCACAGACTGTCATTGGCGTCATACGGACATAAATTTTCGAGTGTTCTACTCCTACTAACATTTTTAAAGTTTTCATTGTGAATCACCTGTTTATCTAGCTTTAATTCATTAATCATTTGCTACTTATACTTATTTGATAGTGTCATATAGTGAATAATGCGTTTACACACAAGCAATCCTGGATATGATATAGACGATGCAAGCTGTCCATTAAAAAATAACGGTATTCTATTTCACAAAGCAAAAATTTAAATCTCACTTGTATTATTAAGAATGCATATAAAGCAAATGTCAAAACGAAAGCTGTTTACAAAATTTATAAAGGTGGTGAACAGTATACTAAACAGTGCTCATTGAAAGACATGTATAATATAGTGACATATATAAATTTCATGTTTCGCTCGCTACTCTGGTTTAAATAAATGATTACAAAGCCCAGTCGAATTGTAATGAAGACCCAACGTTTCGACACTCCAGTCTAGTGTCTTCATCAGGGGTGATCTAAAACTGCGATCGTGGCTTCTTAAATACCCAAGGGATGACGTCACCTGCCAAGAAGATGCATATATTCCTCTGGCAAATAGGCGCCGTCATCCCTATACCTGTTTTTGTCTCAACGCCACATACTTTGTGTTTGAGGGCTGTTATTATCAACAGGTTTTTGGAACAGCGATGGGGTCACCAGTCTCGGCAGTAATTGCTAATTTAGTAATGGAAGATGTCGAACAAAGAGCTTTAGCCTCTGTTCCGGTGTCCCTATCGTTTTGGAAACGTTTCGTCGATGATGTCATCTCTGCGGTTTCTACAAATGAGATAGATATTCTGCTGCAACATTTAAATTCTATTGAGCCGTCCATCCAATTCACGGTAGAACGTGAGATAAATGGACATTTAGCTTTTTTAGATTTGAATGTACACAGAACTGTCGAAGGGAAGTTAGAAACTGATGTTTATCGCAAACCCACACACACAGACAAATACTTGTCATACGACTCTCATCACCCAGTAAGCCATAAAAGATCCGTAGCAAAAACTTTGCTTCAAAGAGCTGAATCGTTGCCGTCAAACAGTGACTCTCAAGCTAATGAACGTGAATATGTCCTAAACGTTTTAGGGGAAAACAATTACCCAAAGCGTTTTCTTAATGATTGCCTGAGGCCACCTGTTTGTAGGAACCAAACTAACTCCGAGGGTGATACCTCTGTTAAGGGTTTTGCAATAGTTCCATACATTCAAGGTGTCACAGAACCAATCAAGAGAATCTTAAGTAATTGTAATATTAAGGTTGCCTTAAAACCCTATTTGACTTTAGGCCATATTTTCGCAAAGCCAAAAGATCCTGTTGAAAAAAATCAGAAGACTCGTGCTATATATTCTATACCATGCGGTGACTGCGACAAAGAGTATTTGGGTCAGTCTAAACGCCAGTTTGGTACACGGCTAAAAGAACATCAAAAGGCTGTTTCAACTTTAGACAAGGGAAAATCAGCTTTAGCCGAACATGTATGTTACACCAAACACGAGATTGCGTGGGAAAACTCTAAAGTAATTACCACAAACAATCGCTATGGTCAAAGACTTTGCGTAGAAGCGTGGCATATAAATATGAGTCATCATGCTTTGAATAGGGATGATGGCGCCTATTTGCCAGAGGAATATATGCATCTTCTTGGCAGGTGACGTCATCCCTTGGGTATTTAAGAGGCTGTCTCCGTAAAAACCTCCAGGTCAGTATGGGGCTCAAAAATAGATTTCTCTCATACTCTAGTATTTTGAAGATCTATCCTTGGGAACAACTAAAATCGATGTCATTTTACTCAAATTTCCTTGAACTTATTTTTGGGGGCGATTGATGTTCGATCGACTGGTAACCAACTTGATACACCGAATGAAGGCCAAATATCGACATATTTTCAGCGCTATTTTTTAAATCAAATTCATACCTAAATTTCAAAATTTTTGCTCAGAAATATAGACTTATCCTTCTATTTTCGCGGGTGATATGACTTAGATCATTATTCTTTGGTATAAAATAGAAAACAGCGCAGTTATTGACCCTCCTGAACGGATAAAGGATATCGTCTCAAAATATGTCAACTTCGAAAGCTTATTTCAAAATCGTGGCACTTGATTGGCACATGACTTTAACTTTTCTATAAACTACTAACATTAGTCAACACAAATCGCCAATAATATCTTTCTGCTCTACCATTTGACAAAAATGACAAGCGCGCAAACTTTGTAAAATTTGAAAATGTGTCGAAATCGAGCATACTTTATCGGTAAACATAATTCTTGATATTACTGAACAAATAAAACCACCTTACACTACACTGAATGAAGCTTGATTATGTAAATATATGTCTTTCATCATTATTCTTTGGTTTTGCACTCGAATGAAATTGTTTGACTGTACAGTTTGGCTTCAAGGATAGTCATTCAATGCCAGTGTGTCCAGCAGTGTGTTCAAATTCTGCGCGCCTCAATGCCATGACGGCATCAGTCCTGATTGTGACATACGAACTTCGCTCTGTTCGCTTTGTTTACCTCCTGTAAATAAAATGTCTCAAAGAAATTAGAAAATTCAGAATTAGTCATACTACAGACATAACTTTCATTGGTTTGTTTACCTTAAACTGTTATATAAAGTTTCGTTTTATAGAATGTACGAATTAATCTCGGGGAAAACTCCTAACCGAAA